GCGATCAGGTAGCGAGCAGCGCAACTCCGAATTGCTGCGGCTCCCGCCTATTACTGAGACCGCGAGTTGCAGTTGTCCGACACCCGGGGGGACGCACACTCGCTGTTGCAATTGATTACGGGTAATTTCGCAGCCCCCACGTTTCGGTTACCTCATGAATACACTAAATTGTTTGGATAATATATCAGATCGTAATGGATGGTTTCTGTCCTTGTCCCCAATCAAGTAGGGGTTTAGCCAGTGAATAAACGGAAATGATTGGTCTTGCTTTCAGGAAACACACAATCAAAGACCCACACTTCCAGAAAAACTTTTGACAAGATTCATACTGAATTGTTAGTACCATTAGCAGGCATTATTAACTTTCCCTTTGCCTTTGACCCTCCTGTTCACATACCGGCTAGAGGGGTTTTCTCCACACTCCACAGACAGAGCTGAATGAGGGTGGAGGGGGGAGGAAAAAAACAAAACAAAACAAAAACCCTTACACACCCTGCAGCAGAAGAAAGCAGTTGCCTCTAGGGGGAAAAAAAAAGAAAGGGAGGGAGGAGAAAAAGTTTTCCCAAAAAGTATCTCCTCCACACTCTAAAAAACCAAGCTTTCGTCCCAAACAGCTCCTTCTTAACACACCTCGACGCTGACAGCCATCTTAAACTGCCACCTCTCTTCATTTAGTTCCAGTTGGATTTTTTCATGCCTGCACCTCCAGCAGCCCTGAGGCAGCCCATTCAAAGGGCAGCTTTGTACTCAGAGAGTCCAGCAGGAGAGAAGGGGGGAGAGGGAGAAAGAGCCGAGAAAATCTCAACTGTGAGATCTGCTTCAAAAAAAAAAAGTTTTCCCCTAGCTATTTCATTGTCTCTGCTACAATATCTTTGAGAAAAGCAACAGCCAGTAATCCAATAAGAGCATTGATTAGGCCACAATGATTCAATTCAAGCGCATGGCCTTGTGCAAGGAGCATGCTCCAGCCCTTCTCGTCACCTTGCCGGGGCAGAAGCCCTCTCCACGCCGCTCTCCCCATTCATTCCTTTATGGGAAATGCGGAGCAAAAGGAGTGAAAGATGGCAATTATCTAATTGGACTATTAACAAACAGTCCTCTGAGTGCGGCGGTCTGGCGTGGCTCCTGGGCGGGGGAAGGGCCGTGTTCCCTGCCCTCATTCACAAAGAGTGCAGGGGCCGGGGAGGAAAGGGGGTTTTTTAAAGGGAGTGAGGTGGGGGAAGAGGAGAGGTGGGAGGTTTGGCTGAGAATTTTTCCACACAATTCCAAGAATGGGGGCGGAGGCGGGCGGGGAAAGGGAGGGGGCTGAGGGCGGGGGTCGCAGCGAGCCGGTGGGCGAGGGGGGAGGGGAGGGGTTACAAGGTTGTGGTTGCGGTGGGCTCCGA